GTAGTAGTAATAGTGATACTAGTAGTAGGTAGTAGTAGGTAGTAGGTAGTAGGTAGTAGTAGTAGTAGTAGTAGTAGTAGTGTAGTAGTGTAGTAGTAGTAGTAGTAGTAGTATATATATATATATATATATATATATATATATATATATATATGTATGTATTTATATTACGGCATATATATCCTGACAGTGTCAAGAAGACGTCAGCACACAGTGGTAAGTACACTGGATATCGTACTTGAATTGGTCTGAAACGTCTATTGGAGTCGGTTTTTTTCTATTATCGGTTACAGCTATCTTGATTGGTCCAAGTTTAACTGAGTGATATGCTTACAATGATCAATATTGCGACACTCAAATCTCTGTCGTGGACTACCGATTATTAACGTATTGTGAGTCAGGAGAGCTGTTAAGGGTTGACGACAAGGTTATGTATACCCCGTACCAGGTGTCCTGATTGTTGCAGCTCAGCTGACATCTTGGTGTGTTTTATCTTTCACAGGCGGAGATGAGGATGAAGACTGGCACTGTATGTACTGTGTAAAAGAAACATTTCCTGCCGTTGCTGATGTCCCCCGAGCCGAGGCTGTCCCTCTAGACGTTACAGTGTCATACGACACAACACCGGAAGCTGCACCAGCCGCAAATATGCAGCACAATTTCTGCGACAACTGTGGCCAGCACGGAAATGTGGTGTGCTGCGATTCTTGTGTGCGTGTGTTTCACTTGCTTTGTCTGGGGGAGATAGAGCGAGACGTTCTGGAACGCGGTATGTTTGTAATAGAAAACACGAATCTAGCATAATTCTGGGAGCATATTGAGTTAGTGTACCAAACTACATCCGTTCAGCTTCATTCCTTCTCATTTGGAATGTGGAAGTCAAATCAGATCAATAGTTCGGTATGATAGTGAATGAGGAGTGCGCAACGGGCGTTGTCACTTGGACATCGTTTAGGACGCAAATTAATCGCCTATGTCTGTTGGGACCGTTGGCACGAATTGCAATAGGCGTGTACTCCGTCGTATTGGCTATGGTTTCAGTCGAATCGATAAAATGAGTATGTAGGCGGAAGATAGCCATGATGACTAACGCGTTGTACGCTTCTATTTTGTTGATGGTGGCTCGCAGCTGACCCAGATGACACTTGGGCATGCCCTAGGTGCAGTGTTAATTCACCGCAGTCCACTGATAAAGGCAAGGGCAAAGCAAAGGTAGAGTCCGAGGTTGGCCCGAGAAGGTATAGTAGAATATTGGATTATGTCATACTTCGTCACAATACATCATAGTCTGCTGTGCCTTTCCAGGAGAAATTCAAAACGTGATAGCTCGATAATGTTTTATTCTCACTTTTCGGTGTAGGTTGGCTTTGAGTATTGTTATTTCCAGGAGAATTCAAAACGTGGTAGCTCGACAATGTTTATTCTCACTTTTCGGTGTAGGTTGGCTTTGAGTATTTTTGTTTCCAGGAGAATTCAAAACGTGGTAGCTCGACAATGTTTTATTCTCACTTTTCGGTGTAGGTTGGCTTCGAGTATTGTTATTTCCAGGAGAATTCAAAATGTAGTAGCTCGACAATGTTTATTCTCACTTTTCGGTGTAGGTTGTCTTTTAGTATTGTTATTGGCGGTTGAGCTGTGTATGCGCACTATATTAAACTCTGTCTGTGATCACTAGTGAGGTGTTAGTTTTCGCCTTGTTGAACACGTATCCCTCGTGGGCATCCGCACACCACGGAGTCACTGTGAAGTGCCTGATAGTGCATCTATCTTTTCGCTCGTATTCTTAGCCTCGTCGTAGAAACCGTGCTGTTTCTACATTGCGAATCCCATATCCACAGTTTTATTTAAGTCCGAAGATGCATCTTATTCACTCAATCATTTATTATCATCACAGCATCACCGGCGGCCGTGGCTCAGTGCTGCCCCCTACACTTTACGAGGGAGCATCTTCCAGCGGCTTATCGCTTAATAATGCTTCTACCTCTAGCGGGTTTGTGGCACCCTTCCCCGTATCTGTACCAAATCAAGACCCCTCACCGCAGGGTGCTGGTAGGAATAAGAAGAGCAATAGCGTCAAAGGTCCGAGGTGTGTTTATATACGATGAATTCCATATGTACTGGATGTCATATGCTGGTGAGTATTTTCTGGGCTGTTTCGTGCTCTTTCAGATTGTTCGATTGTAACCATATTTCCAGCACGAATTGTTGGCAAACAGGGTGGCGTATGCTTTTGAAGTCGTAGCTGTTTCTTCTGGTTCGAGCTTATTCATCTACGTGTGGTGTGTCCTCTCTTATCTTTATAGGAGTGCACTGACGTCTTTCCTTGAAGAGCAGGGGATTTCAGCTCGTGATATCAGAGACAGTCACTTTCGACGTCAGGTATGTGTATGTGTGTATGTACCTGTTGTTCTAGTTTAATGAATAGGTCGATCAGTTACGTTTGCGAGCATCGGTGCATAAAATTGCGCTGGAGTGCTTGTTTTTTTTGCATACGTTGGTATATATGCTGGTGTCCGTGCATAGGTGTGTACTTGCAGTTGATCAATATTTACGCACTAACTGGTATGCATTGTATGTATTAGCATTGATACCTTTTATCATTTACGCGTAGGTATTATAATCTCGGGCGGTCGTTGCTCAGCGTATATCTTATACCTTGTAACCGACCTATTCGCATGACCAAGACATACAAATACACGCGCACACGTCCAAACTTGTACGCCCATTCTCAATAATATTCCACATGATCGAAATACAATGCTCTGCCATATATAGGCGGCCTCGAGCTCACAGAGCGGCAGCGCAGACGGGGAACAACCAATAGCCGAGGCCGAAGGCCCCGTTGACGCACCCGTTGATAACGCATACATAGCCATGTACAAGCAAGCACGCACCAATACTACCACAACCTCAAGTGCGGGGAAACGCACACGCAGACGCAATAAGCCCAAATGTGGTAGTGGGCTTGAGGATGTTAGTTCGGGTGAAGAGACTGAAAGTGCGCCGGTGAGCGATGTCGAGGGCCCGAGTGTAGGTAGCACGCGCGCTAAACGGGCGGCTGCCAAGGGACTGGCGAAAGGGAAGGGCAAGAAGAAGGTGAAAGTGGTCGATGAGAAGAAATATGGGAAAGGTAAGGTGTGTGGTTGTGCTGCTGGCCTTCGGGTTTAGTGGGCATGGGTGTTTGATTGCAGAAATGAGTATGCTCCTCAGAAATGTGTATCTAAAAGGGTGTAAGGTCTAGTTGACAGGTATATACAGGGTACGAGTTGAGTCTTATCGGTCCTGCTAAGTATTTCTCATAGGTCTTCATACGCATCAAACGTTGTAGCCTATTTGGACTGAGAAATGTACAGCACTTTCCATCATCACACGCACGCTGCATCCCTGCACACCTACTTGCGCACTCACCTGAAATTATAACACACAATTTGGAGTGATGCACTTGTTGCATCTCGCTAGGTGCACACGGATATGTCAACACATCCTTCCACCGTCGATGACATAGTAGCAACATTGTAGTCGGAAAGACTCGGATTTCTCAATATACGAAGAGACTGAAATGGGCTACGATAGAGTGTACTACATCGAAGGCTTGCATGTATTTTCCATTCTTATATACGCTAAATCACGCCAATGTATAAATGTATTTGATGCCAATATAAAAGGTAAGGACAAGGGGAAGGGACCAAAGCCCAAAAGGGATCCAAATGACAGCGAAAGCGATAGCAGTGACTACTCTGACGGCGAGGACTTCGCCGGGCCTCTATTGCTGTGTTCGGTTTGCCAAAGAGCCATTCCAAGGGGTGCCACCATGTCTTCCGTCGATCCGATCCATCCTTTGTGCCAGGTGAGTGGTATTACCCAGTATATGTGCATGTGCATCGCGGCTGACAAAGTGGGGGATATGTGTAGACATACATTCGTGCATTCTTGTCAATTCAAACGGAACTACACAGTCATCGCACATTACCTTTGAGGTGTCACTATAGCCATAAATGGTATAAAATCCTCCTTGTTGTGCCATATCACTTATTTCTCCCTGAATTGCCTGGCTGAGATAGGTGTGTGTGGCGGCTCAAACAAAGAAGCGCAAATCGATGAGAGGAAAGAAGAAGGCCGCAGGAGCAGCCGGCAGATTTGTAGAGGGCACGCTGATGTCCGTGTTGTACAGCGAGATAGACACTTTACAGGTGAGTGTGCGCAGGGCAGACTAATTTTATTTGCAGATGATTGTGGGCAACTGGAACAGCGAGACCAGGGACAGTGTGAGTGATTGAGTGAGTGTTCCTATCCATTTCTGTATGCCTCGCAGTTGTGTTCGGAGACTTTTACACATGATTGGTTGCAGATCAATGTGGTCTGTGCTAGAGTGGTTGTGGATGTATTTTATGCAGTTCATAACTTCTATGAGATCTTTATTTCGTAGTGATTAATCCGAGCGTGTCCGTTTGTTTTTGCAAGTTTGATTGAACAGTCGAATAGTGCCTGGGATATTCGAATAAATTTGCAACGTAGACTATTGAATGGATTTCATTATTGCGCGTGGGTGTGTTTGCTTTATTGTGTGATATCTGCTTACAATTTGGCATCAGTGTGTACAAATACCTTCCCATATGTATCGTCCGATCATACCACCAGTAGTGAAATTTCTATAATTCACATATCTCACATATTTGTCCATGTGCAAATTCGATTTACAGAACATGTGCATCAAATTAGTGTCAGAGAATATAGAATACGTCGAATCCTTTGGAGTGATCGCCGCTGACGCGAAGGCCAAGATCTGCAACATTGTCTGCAGTCATCGCAAGCTGTTTCCA